GGACAGGACATCCACCACCTCTCCGGCCAACTTGTTCTGTTCCAGTGTCTCACCACCATTATTGTAAAAACAAAATAATAAAAACTTCCTTATATTCAGTCTAAATCTTTCTTTAGTTTGAAAGCTTTTCCCCTTGTCATATCACAGCAGACCCTGCTGAAGAATCTGTCCCCCTCCTTTTCATAGCCCCCATTTAGATAGGCAGCTCTTAGGTCTCCCTGGAGCCTTCTCTTCTGCAGGCTGAACAGTCCGAGCTCTTTCAGCCTGTCCTTGCAGGGAAGATGTTCCATCCTTTGGATCATTTTTGTGTCCCTCTTCTGGACGTGTTCTAGCAGATCCATATTTCTCCTGTACTGAGGACTCCGCATATGGACACAGTACTTCAGGTGAGATCTCACCAGCACAGAGGGGCAGGATCATCGTCCTTGATCTGCTGACTATGCTTGTTTTGATGTAGCCCAGGGCATGGTTGTCTTCCTGGGCCGCAAGGGCACATTGCTTGCTCATGTCCAGCTTGCCAATACCCCACATACTGTGCTCTATCCTTACATCCTTCAGCTTGTACTGATAGTGAAAGTTACTATGACCCAGGTGGAAGACCTTGCACTTGGTTTTGTTGAACCTCATGAGATTCATCTGGGCCCAGTAGAGCCTTTGTAGGTCTCTTTGGGTGGCTCTCTGGATATTTCAGGCGTGTTGACCACACACAACTTGGTGTCATCTGCTGAGAATGCACTCGATCGCACAGTCAATACATTGATGAAGATGTTAAAGAGCATTTGTCCCAGTACTGACTTCTGAGAGACACTACTTGTCACTGATCTCCATCCAGACATTTAGCCACTGACCACTATTCTGTGGGTATGATCTCATAACCAGTTCCTCATCCGTTGGACAGTCACCTATCAAATTTGTATCTTTTCAATGTGGGGAGAAGGCTGTTGGGGGGAACCATGTCTAAGGCCTTACTGAATTCCGCATAGATGACATTGGTAGCTCTTTCTTTGTCCACTGATGAAATTATGCCATCATAAGAAGCAACAAGATTTGTCAGGCAGGACCTGCTCTTGGTGAAACCATGCTAGTTATCTCATATCACCTCCCTGTCTTCCATATATCTTGGCAAAGCATCTAGGAGGTTCTATTTCATGATCTTCCCCAGCACAGTGGTGAGGCTGACAGGTTGGTAGTTTCCTGTGTCATATTTTATACTCATTTGAGTGCTGCGTTGTCTTTTTTTAGTCACCAGGAACTTCACTTGACCACCATGACTTTTTGAATATAATCAAGAGTTGTGTGGCAACTACCAGTTGGCTTCAGCCAAATTCCCTCAGGTCTTTGGGATGCATCTCATCGTGACCCATAGACTTATGGATGTTCAGGTTTCTCAGGTGGTTGTGAACCTAATCTTCACTTAATCAAGAGGAGCTTATTCTCCTGTTCCCACTTTCTGAACCATCTGCTTGAAGGCTGTGTGTTGCAAGGACAGTTGCTAGTGAAGACTCAGGTAAAAAAGTTGTTGAGTATCTCAGCCTTCTCCTTGTCTCTTGTTACCAGCCTACCTATATTGCTCACTAGGAAGGGTACGCCCTCCTGAACTTTACTTTTCCAATTGATGTACCTATACAAGCCTTTCTTATCCTGATAATGGTTTTATAAAGTGAGGATAGTCACCACTAGGGATCCAGTGACATCTTGTTGATTTGCAGGGAGCTGCAGATCAGTCAGTGACTTCTCATTTACCTGCATGGCTACAATTCGTGGAAGGGGTACCCATTCTATCTTCAAACATTTTGGGTTTTTATCCTCATATCGTCATTTTGGTTGCCAGTGCCAGCAAGTTGGTTGTCAGGGGCATTTCTGTTTGGTATGTCAGGAGCAACAACATTGCTTGCTTCAGTTGTCAGGGGCAACAGCATGTTCATTGTATGTGCTCCTCCTGTTGGGTGATGGGCAGTTGATCAGAGAATTGTCACATGCTGAGCTGCTATGTGTGCCCATTGAATGTATGTGGTCCACTCCTCTGACACAACCCCCATAAGTCAGCCTTGATGTCCAAAAAGAGCAACAACCAGAAATGGTTTCTCCTGGTTGCCTAGCCGCATGTGTTTCTCTTACTACTGTGATCATGGTAACCATTAACTACAAAAGCTTACCAAGCAGATTATGTCTCAGACGGGTGCTACTGAACAAGATTTGAGCCAAAAATTGTTCAACCTTCTCACAACCTCCCTGTGGTTGAAAATGCCAAAATTCCTGTGATGGTACCAACCTCCTAGCCATGTATTTATCAGATGAGTTTTCCTGGGCCTCTCAGTATCCCTTTCTGCCACTGAAGGGATAGAGGAAAACACTCCCTAAGCTCCTGCACTGTTCGGTAACAGTCCAGCCTTCTGAAGTCCCTTTTGATTGCCCCTAGGCTTCTTTCAGCGACTTCATCACTGCCATCTTGACTATCAGGCTTTAGTTTTTTATGGGCCTTAAGCCATAACTTAAAGATCTTCATGAGTGACAGTATGGTAAATCTCCCACCTCCAGAAGAATCACTATACTGAGATTCAATCTCTTTATGGACTTTTTTCTTCGAATCCACTTTCTTTCCTCTTGATTCCACATTATAGAAAGAGAGATGAGAAGATTTTCAGGCTTGGTTCTGTGATTGCAAATATAAGTTTTCTAATCTTTAAATCTTGTTTTAGTAAGGTGTCCTCAGATACTGCTATACATCTATTTGCTTATCTAAGAAATACAGTTAATTTGATATCAAGCTACTATTTGCAGTTTGGTAGGAGGGAATCACAAGGTATTCTGATAAGTTGAATTACTGATCTTACTCTCTCTTCTGAATTCAGAGTAAATTTTGGGAAAATGGTGGAACTTCACAAAAACAGATTGCAATCAGAGCACTCCTTCAAAATCTTGATTTTTTTTTTTTTCAATTTTATTTGTCTGATTGTTACAGTGAGATGAGTTAGTAAATCTTATTGGGTGAAGCGCAGCGTTGTACACAGTTTCTCCCATTTACCATTTTGTATTTTCAGTATTGATCTTCAATTACCAACATAAGCATTTCAATAGTGAAAGCATTCAGCATTTTCTGTGACAGAGTCTTGCAAATGACAGAATTACCTTTTGTAGTTTCTTTTTCCGTACTTGAAAATAAATATTCTTAATCATTGAGCCAACACAGTGAAAAATTGCTCTTATTTTATTCATTCTTTAAATTGTAACAGCCATTCTATGTTCTATGATCTGCTTATTTTCTGACTCCTGGCTTAGCTCCCAGGTCTTAACATAGAAGTCTGCTTTTCACAGAGCATCCTCTGTGAAAGCACATGGAAAGGGGACCAACCTCTAATCTGAAGAAATAAACCTGTATCAAAACAAAATGAAGTTTCTTAAAAATACAGGAACTTGCCGAGGAAAGATAATTTGTCTGTTTGAAGAGATCATTTGTGGTTGTAAAGTGGTTTGACCTTGGTTGTGCAAAATAAACCAAATGTGATGGAGAGCTGGTTTTTGGAAATCAGGGCTTCAGGGCAGATATAAAGAGAACTTTAAATTGCATTTTTTACTGCTTCCATTTATCTGCTCTCCAATAAACGCCCAGCAACTTTGGGGATTGAAGAAATGAGATTTCATAACACATCAAAGTCCTCTTGCACATTGGTGCAACCTGCTGCTTTTACTTTATGGACCTTTGTGTAGTGCCTGGAGTGAATAACAGGCTGAAGCTATTAAAATATGTTAATAGCTGTGAGAAGTAGAAGTGTTAGACAAATGGATCTTGTTCAGTATAATTTACCTTGCTGCTGTTGAATGACTGAAAATATTTTGTTAGCTCTTTGCATATTTCTTATGGATTGATCAAGTCTTAAAATTCTAATTGCTTTACAAATATAAATATACATGAAGAAGAAATCTAAATTAGGGATTAGCCACATAGAGTTAATGATTAAATGTACAATATTAAAAAAAATGTAATTAAGGTTTACCAAATAGTGAGAAATGAAAACATTATGGAAAAAGGGTTTTTATTGCTTCTGGTTTTAGCATGATTTTAGAAAGAATAGTTCTCTGTTCAGCTGAAATTACGTATTTTGGTATATCACTCATTGCAATCCTTAGAAGATGTCTTGATTATACTACATGAATTAGGAAATAACTTCTAAGTATGCATTCTTCTTATGCATGGATACTTCCCCACTTTCTTCTGAACACCAGGTGATGCTTTTCTTTGTTTTTTGACTGGGAGTTCTGTGCTCAGTATCTCTCTTACCAAACCTATTAGGAACCTGGAAATGCTTTGCTTTCATTGAAACAGAATTTTCAGTGTGATGGCATTAAACATATGAGTAGTTGATCTCACAGTGTGATGTGACTGGGGCATGTAGATATGTCTGTAATTCTCTGTGCACATTATTGTGCAACAGGCTAGACATAGTTAAAGGAGTTTTACGACACGATGAAAGCAAATATAGGAAAGGCTCAAGCACTGGCAGAAAGGACAAAAACAAATTCCCTATATGTTTCTTCTGATTTCATAAAAATACTTTTACATTGAACTGTGGTAAAAGAGGGGGAAGTCATACTCATTTTCCCCTGTAATGGCAGTATGCATGTTGGTCAAGGGGAGGTTTGCATGAGAATTTGTCCATGTGTAGTTATTAAGCTGATGTTTTAATTTTAGATAACATGTAGAAGAAGTTATACTTAAGCTCACTGTCACTTTACTAGTGCATCTACTGTATGGATCCATAACGCTTTTAAAACTCATTTTGGTAATGTTGCAGCTTGGGAAAGTTAAGAGTGTATTTGTTTCTGGACAGTTTCACTAGTGGAACAAAATATGATACATTGTATGATACAGATGTGTTCAGAGAACAGTATGGAAACTTTCCAGAGTGAGCCTTTTATCTACTGTAGTAAAATACATTTCTGGAGAGGATGTTTCTAAATTCTTTTTAAAAAAAAAATCTGTTTTGTTTTGTTTTTTCCAGGTATTGCTATTTCTGATGAACTTGATAAGGTAAGATTTACTGTATGCCTAAAGAACAGTACAAACAGACATATGATCATGATAAATGTAGGCAATATGAGCTAAATCTTCCTGTAGAGTTTAGAAGAAGCTTGGGTATAAACTATACAGGTAAGTACTGTACTCTTGATTCATTAAGAGCTTGATTCAGGTTGGTTTATCAGTTATACTACTGAGATTTAAGGCACTCTTAATGAGGCTGTGATGCTTCTGATCTTGTTACCATCTTTGCTTAATGCAGTCTGTTGGGTTACTGTAATGGCGTACTTTTAGGAACATTTCATTTTGAATATCTTTTATTCATGAAGTTATATCATTGGGTAGCTTTTGTACTATTAGATATTATAATTTGAGGAAATAATCAGGAGAGTTTTTTACTCTGATTGGGAACGCACAAACTTTAAAAATCAGTCTTCACTTCCTTACAGAACGCACCATACAGTGCTTCCTCATATGTTGCATTTTGATAAATTACATCATTAAAAAATTCATTAACATGAGTTTTTACGTTAGCTGAAATGAACTCTGTGCTGAAGCAGTATTCCTGCTAGTTTATAAATGTTCAAAAGGAAACAGTGCACTCTTCTCTTTCCTATTTGCACCCCTGAACAGCAGTGCTGAGACTAGCGAGTTGTATTCTTGGTGTCAAAAAGTACTGCAGTCATGGAGATAAGATAAGGGTACGTAAGACACAGGATCGACATGATATAATAGACAGTCTTTAAAATGTGTTACTTTCTCTTGGTAAGGTGAGGGCACAATCCCTTTTTTTTAAAACAAACAAACAAACAAAAATGCATAAGGAATTCCTAGGCATGTGGAGCTGCCATTTCAAAACCATCACTTTTATTTATCATTTAGGCCTTTTTTTTTTGCTTTGTTTTTTTGCTGGATCTCAGTTTGCTGGATCACAGTTTTGCTGTATCTGAGTCTTCCATCCTACCATTTCTTTACCTGTGGTCAGAAATGCTGAGAAGTACAATTAGTAAAGCCCTTCCATTACAACCCTTACCATTAAGAGTACTTGTGAAGAACAGATATTCATTTAGCTTTGTTAAAGACAAAACGAAACAAAATGAAACCAACCAACCAAACAAAAAACCTATGAAAAGCTGTTTTGGGGTAGGAGAAGACATTTTGAGCTAGAGCCTATGATCACATGCTTTTCTCCATATATAAGCTAAATTTTTGTGTGAATTTTTTTTTTCCAAGGCAATTGATTATTGTTCAAAAAACATTCATGTTCTGGAATGTAGGAATTTAATGAAAAGTGAGGTGGAGAGCATCATTAGTGAATTTCCTCCTGTGGCAATCTGAGTGAACAGTTAATTTTCCTCTCATTGCCTTTATTGTTTATGATTTAAAATAGGAAATGTTTTCATGTAAAGCTAGATGTTATACTAAATACAGTTAAAAGCATGCATTACCTGATCTTTACTCTAAATTGATAGTATTGCATCAGATTTCACATGTGATGAGGACAGGCAAAGTGAATCAACTTGGAATAAAAATTTATTTGAATAATTAAAATATTAAATATTTTAATATATATTTTAAAATAAATATAAAAATATTTAGAATATTTAAACTCTTAACATACTTCCTTTGTACAGCCATGTTCAAAGGAAAAGAATATCTGTATTGTTTGTCTCCATGAGCATGTGGACATGAGTATTCTTTCTTGTTTTGTCTTTTTAAGTTTTTTAATGGATTTAAACATCTCACTTGTATGGAAGGTAAGGGTGGCTAGAACCTCTGTATGAAGTGTAACAGTGTAAATTCATGTTGTTAAACTCACTTTCCCTCTACCACAGGGCTGCTGCATGCATACAATGTAGCCAAGTTCATTGAAATTCCTTTCCCAGAAATACATGCTGGCACTACAGCTTCCTTATCTAGCTTGCAGCAGTACTGAATATTTTTTCAAACACACTCAGATCTGGGTTTTGAAGCAGGTGCATGTGTTAGGTCCCATGCTTCCCACTGGAGTCCTTTATAAAAATGACATGACTTAGATGTCATGGGAGGTATAAAATTAAACATCATCATAAATTCTTCTGTATGCTTTTGTTTGCCTTTTTTTTCTTTTTTTTTTTTTTTCTTTTTTTCCAGTTGGAAGCAACCATGGCAATTAGTACAGAGACCATAATTCTCCTGTTTAATTTGTGGTGTATGTTATGAACCAGGAGAAAACAGACGTGAATGTGGTTTCTTATGTATGTTTATTTTTCTTTCCTTTTAAGTATGTATTTTTTAAAAGAACAATTTTATTTTGGCTTTTGCTACCTTTCTCAGGTGAATACTCAAACACTTATCACTGGCTGATGTAATTCTTCCTCTAAGCAATCCAGATAACTTGGTAGTTACTTAGTTATTCAAGCATTTGAATCTGGAAATACAGTTTGCTCTGAATTGCAAGCCCTTTTCTGGAAAGGTGTTTCTTTTAAATGGACTCTTGTCAAACTAATACTATAATTGCCTCTTTTTGGTACTCAGAGTTTTACACCAAGAGATGTACAAAAAACAGACAGACAGACAAGGCAAGTCTTTCAATCAGAATGGAAGCTTTTGGTTTGAAAGTCTAATACAATTTCAGTATTTTGTAGGTATAATTGCACAAAAAAAATCTTTGACACTACTGCAATTGATCCAGATTTCTTGTATTGTTACCAGGTTACAGGTTATACCTGTGCAACCTCTTGTAGGGCACCTTTTTTAGCAGGGGTTGGACTCAGTGACCTCTTGAAGTTCTTCCCAAAGCCTGTGATTCTGTACAGACTCCCTCCTTTTTCATTTCATTTACTTCAGTTTTGCAGAGTTTGATGTTTCATTTCTCCTGGTAATTCAGCCCAGTTCTCTAAGCTGTGGAAGTGATATAAAATCAGCAACTGATGCTGCGGGTACAGTGTGTAAGGAAAGAAAGTGAGAAGGGATGCCTTGTGACTCACAGATTTTAAGACTAACATGCAGTGTTAATACGATTCAAATTCTTTACTGCTGAACAGAAACTGTGCATGAATTTTCCAAAGCTCTTCATAAATGTCAAGAATTTCCTGTAAACATAAAGAAGTTAACTAACTTTCCTGTAAACATAAAGAAGCCAGAATGTCACCCTTTCTGTAAAATTTATGGAATTTTAGTTTGGTTTAAAAAAATAAAATAAAAGCTAGAGAAAAACATTAGAGTTCACTGTGAGGACATGTCCCTGGAAGGTGAGAGCTCAGATGCATGCAGATGTATATGTAGAACATCCATGGACTAGCCCTACTGCCGAAGCTCCCATATGGAAGGTGAAGGCTGTAACTGCTGCTGAATAAGGGCACTCATGGTGATTGTTGGTTGTCTTCTGTAGAATTTGCAGCTCCTAGAAGATGCTACTTACCTGAAAGCCACAAACTGAACTCTGGTATGTGTTCCATTGTAGTATGTGTACATTGTAAGGAACACTGAGGAAAAACATAGCCAGAATGTTACAGTGCAGAAGGGTGTTTCCAATGGGCTTGTACCCCTTGCAGCCATGTTTCTGAACCACACCAAGCCACAAACAGGGACTCACGCACTTTTCCTCTTGCCAGTTAGAGAGCAACTGAAATTACATTTTAAAGCAATTTAAAAGGGTTTAAGGAAAGGTTTATTCATCTTCTGGCTTTTGATTCTTTAAACACTTTTGCAATTGTTTTTCAAGTGTTATTTTTTTTACTTAATTACTGCAAAGACCAAAAATATTTTCTTTTTAAATAGGAGACAGGATTTTCACATAATTCCAGTATTCCATGGATTGGTGCTTTACTTGAGCTTCATGTTGCAGAGCTCTCACAGATTATATGAGGCCTGCTATATAATTGTGAGATTTGTCTAGGACTTCAAACGATTTTGTTCAGTCAGCTTAGATTTTAAGAATGGGAAGTCACCTATGAGTCAGAGATCCAGAATCAGACAGGAGTAAACATGATTTATTAGAAAAATCATACTGGATTTTGATTCTCAAGGTCATTCAAACATTTTTTCTGTGCTGTGTCTGGGGTGTACTTTCTTCTTGTGTGGAGCATTAATGCAATGAACATAGGTTATAATTAATAAAATAGAGGACATAACTAGGTCATGAAAACAAATTTGTTCTCACCCAAAAGTCTTTGTAACTGTGTAGGTTTCCTCAAAATCCATTTGGCAATAAAGAATACAGAGTTTTTTAAGCTATGCTTACATGAGTGGATGCACAAATGTTGTTATGCTCTCTGATACATATTGCAACCACATCTCAAGTCAATCTGAGGATGAGATTTAGTTGTCGTTTAGCTTTCCTCTCCTTCGCCTGGTTTCTACATAAAGGAGGTATGAGTCTGTCAAGTGGGTAGAAGCTGATAGGGGTGATTGGTAGATATTCTGGACTGCAACATAAAACAACCCTTTAGGTTAATTTATTTAAATATCTACCTGTGTTTCTGTGCACACTGATGTCACTATCAATCTCTCCATTTATTTATGGAGGACTATAAATTGAAAATCAGTTAAGATTCTAAGGTTTATAATTAATATATCTATCTATCTATCTATATATATGGATATAAGAACTTGTCTGAGGACAGAGTACTTCAAGTAAATTGATTAAATCTTTTGAAATAATCTGCCAAATAAATGCTTTTGTGTTCTCAGTAGAGCTGTCTCTGATACTCATTTACTGTTTTCACTGTCACTGCTTATGTAGTTGAAAAAAGGAAAATAAATTAGGTCACTGAAACTGTGGTGCACTAATTAACAAGATTCAAAAATGGAAGCAAGGTAATAAAGGAGGCAAAGCATGACTATGAATGTAAATTACATTTCTGTTAAGGAGGGTATGAAAGTACTGGTTTAGTCCCTGAGACGCATAGAGAAGAAATCAGCATAATAAGGGCAGATGTGGCATTTGTTTTTTACTTATTCATGGACTGGTGTAATGCAGTGTCTGAAAAAAGCTTCAGTACTGAAAAAAAAAGCAAATTTTGAAGTGCACTTCCTCTTTCAAGTAGGTAACTGGCAGCTTTTAGCGAGATTGACACTGCTGGCTGTTGCAAGTTTAACTGGCAGCAACAACCCTTTACAATTCATTATTGGAAATTACACAGGGAGAAGGGGAAGAGAGAAAATGACTAAAGTAACAGAAAGAATTTTCATGTGGGGGCCAAATAATTCTTATTTAAATAAACTACTGAGTGCACCTTGTATCATGGGCTGTGGAATAATCTTTTTTCCTAGCTTATTGGCTTTATAATGATAAGCCACCTGTGGTAGCTATCACCTGTCAAGTGACAAGAGGCTGCATTACAAGACTGTGGCACAGCAGTAGACAGATACATAAAGCCTATATTTTTAAGCACATAGAAGAAAATCACCAGTGTTTAGATATTCCAAAACTTTTGCACTCATGGTGTTTTCCTCAGATTTCTCTCCTTTGTGTTGGCTGCATTTAATTTTCAGTGGCCATACCTTGCAGAAAGCAGACATTGTGTGAAAAGTGAATTTAGTTGTCTGGATGCGTGTATGTATAGACTGGAGTGGGATAATGCAACTCATAGGCATACTGGAGAAAACAGAATAACAAAGGTGGATGAATCTGAATCTAATCCGAGGCCTATTTTGTATTTGGCTCATTCAGATGGAAGCTCTTGGAATTTGGCTGAGCAAATTCTAGCTTCTAGCCAAGGTTTTAGAAATACATTCATATGGGAGCAGCTTGCACATAGGTTTTATTTTTTTCTTTGTTTAAGTAGACCTCTATTTGCTGGACTTTTCTCATATCTGTACCAATTAGAAAGGGACTTCAGAATTGTTTTCAGGAAGGTAGGAAAATGTGATTGCTTGGGTAAGTAATCACTGTATTGTAGTTTTTCCAAAAGCTCCTTGTTTAGAAATTGTTGTTTTATGAAAGGGACGTTTGTTGAGACATTTAGATCCAGAAGGGTTTGTTTTTCTAAATTTTTCTCTTAAAGGATAGGAATACCATATCTCTGTTAGTGAGAAAAACTGTATTTGAAAAGTCTTTGTTTTCCTGAGAAAGGTTTTACTAAAGCAAAATGAATATTCTTGATCCATTGTTTCTGTGTCTACTTCTTGTACCTATGCTTTTTCTATAGTTTTATTGCACTGTAGTATATGACCCTTTCCCTACATCCTTCCTCGTAACACTGATAAAACTCTCACTGCTTTGCAGCAGGTTTTTCTTACAATTTCTAGGTGCATTTTGTTTCCTTAACCTAAATTCCTAATCTAACAATGCAAATCACCACTACTGTGTTGAATATTCTGGTTGTTTTGCCTCCTTCTTGTAATCCTCTTCAGCTATCTTCTTCCAGTAAGCTGTTAAAAATATGAGTGCAAGTTTCAGAAATCCATTTTATTAAAATGTTAATACCATTTTTGGAAATGAAGGATACATTATGTAAATCCCAGCAGAGTTATTTTTAAAATGCCAAGCACAGATGTATTTATTAGTCTTGCATTAATTCATAATGCAAATAGGAGAGATGCTATTAATCTACAACAGTCTTTTGGTGGTGGTGATGTTCATTATGCGAGTGACCTCATGTGTTGCTTAGCCTGACACTGAATGGATTCCAAGTGTTGCATATTTATTTAACAAAATAATTTTTCATGAAAAATTATAAGTTCCAGCTTTATACAGTTGATATTGAGAAGCAAGAAGAGATTTGAGACACCAGGGTGGGGAAATCTTTCTTGGAATTTTATTAATGCAAAATGTCTTTTCGTTAGTCTTTGACTTTTCTGTGTGCTACTAAGACCTCTGACATTTTAACATAGTGTATAATTTTTCTTTACTTTCTTCAATAATTTTATTGTCTTATTTTCAGATCTATTTCATTTGTAGTTGAGAACAAGTAGTACGGTGCTTTGATTTTCTTGTTTTTATTTCTCTTTAGGAGACAACAGGTTTTAATACCCCCCTTCTCAGACCTCGTGTGATTGGAGAATGGATTGGTCGTGAAGAGAATGACGCTGATCCCCTGGCTGCTGAGATGCTGCAGCCACCAATTCCAAGAAATAAAAATGAGCAGTGGGACAGTGAAGACAGCAGCAGTCCTGGTGGAAGGTAGGATTTTCATTCTCTCTAGAAAACTGATAATTTTTTTAAGGAGAGCTTTCTTTGTGATGCACTGCTTCTGTGGGTGAAACAAAGGATTTTTAAATTCCCATACAGTGGTGTAGCATAACACACAATAAATGGTAGACACTGCTATGTACTAGCTTCCTCCAGTGCTTCTGCATATGACTGACTTTACACTCATTAGCAATCCCATGGTTTGATTCTCATACATAAAACTAAATGTGTATGTGTGTGCGTGCGTGTTAAAAGCTTGTGCACTGCCTCCATTAATCATCTAAAACCCTACTGTTCTCTATCAGCTCTATAACTTTTTGATTATAATCAGCACGCTGACTGTAGTAGACACCTTCTTATTTCTCTTTTAAGGATGAAGAAACTCTGATTACCTTCTGAAAAGGTCTAAAGTATGCTTTCACTATTTCTATCACGTCCTCTGTACTAAAATTCAATTCCTTGTCACAGGGAAACTAGTGTATCATTTGTCTGTACTCTTAGAGGCTGTATTTATTAACTTTCCATTCATGTTGGAAATGTTTATTATCCAAGAACACTTCTTACTTCTAGTTTATTGTGGGGGAAGGTGTAAATACTACAGTTTCAGAGTGTAAATATTACATTTCCAAAGTAGCAGCAGCAGGTAGTAATGATCCCTTAGCCAGACTTTGGACTGGAACCAAAAGAACTCAAATACAGTCTCTGTGCCGTAGTTCCTGGAAAAGTAGTGGAGTCAGCACCTGACATTGCTTCCTGATCGTGTGGGCCTGGGTCTTTGTATTTTCTTTGTGAGAAGTCCAATAAGGACACTGGATAAAGATTTGTTACATGCTGTAGAGGAACTTAAGGATATTGTATCCCTTCTCTCAATAGGAAGGAGCAGAACTAAGCTGATTTCTAGATGGAAGCAAATAGATTTAGTTCTGAGCACTTCTCTCTGTTGTTGCTGTAAGGGAATAAGACAAGGTATTAACATGTGATAAAGGACTATATAGAAGTGCTGATGGCGACCCTGATGATACTGAGCTCCTTTTTCAGAAATTCAGGAACCAAAAGATAGGATTATACTCCATGTCACTGTTAGTAGTTTTTTTACTTAAAAAAATATTGTGGATATTCTGAGAAGAAGAATGGCCTTGGGAAACTTCCTTAAGGGATAACATGTCTACGCAATGGAGAATTTGGGTGATTTTTAATATGATGTTCTTGTTTCTCAAAGGCTGTAATAAACTAAAGCTCACGTAAGCTCCATCTGTAGCCACATTCTAAACTCAAAGCTTGTTCTTCATCCCCAGAGTCCACTCTATCTTATTAGAGTTTATCTTTGTAGGGGAAAAATGAGCTACTGATTATACTGCATTTCATACTTTTGCAAAAGATCCATCTTCCTGCAACAGGCTATAAAAACAGCCTAACGTGTTCCCATGTTTTTTCTAAGATTGGAAGGAATCAAGAATTGGTAACTACAGTAATTCCTGCCTTAGACCTTTCTGCTGACTTCTCTACAGTTCCAGATGTCTTTTACTTAGATTAGGGACACATGAAACCACAAGGAAGATTGTTGTAACTATGTAGTCCTTAATGCTGTACAATTGTTGTAACTTCTCAGTATTGTTGTCGTGTGACCAGTGTCTTAAAATTAAGTCTTAAAAAATAAGTAGTGAGTCTTAAAAATAAGTAATTGATATCTTGTTGTTGTTTTTATGTAACTTCTTTAAACTTTATCAAATGACCATAAAGTCAGTAGGTATTTCCCATCATCATTCAGTCAAAACTTTAGATAGGAATTGGAAGCAAAAACTGATTTATGATATTGAGTGATCAGTGAGTGTGTGGTAGCTAGCAGGTTTATGTGTGGTCTGATGGTGTTAATCAGATGTAGGTGACATCATGGGCTGCAGTAATTTGAAAAATGTGTGACATGGTTTGTAGAGAGTGTCAGTAAGAGAAAGTTGTGCTTTCCTCCCTCACAGCTTAAAAATGGAGCCAAAGACCAAAGGACTAAAACAGCAACAGCAGCAACATAAGAAACTGCTGGCTGCCATGCTTTCTCAAGACTCCTTTGATTCTGCCCACAGCACAGCTCCATCCGTAACTGAAGAAGATATTGACAATGAAGATGATGCAATGGAACTGCTGGGTAACCGGAAAAAATATTTTTTTCTCTAAAATTTAATTTCTTTTTCTAAATCTAAATTATTGATCAAGATAAGAAGTGTAACATTGATAGATTAGTTTGAGTCTGATTCCTATTTTTAAAATCTAAGTATCCAGTAGCTGTGCAAAACAGTAATTTTTGGGAGTTGATGTCATGAGGGTCATATGTATGTGTGAGGAAACTCCTAACTGCTTCAAAATCCCACGTTTCAGATGATTAAAGTAATTAATTCAATTTCCTACATAAACAGTCAAATGGAGTAGATTGCTCTAGATGTGCCACAGTTGAGTTTTGAGAGTCTGTGCAAAGGTGATTGTTGGATGTGTCTGGGCAATGTGTTCCAATGTTTGAACATACTACTGATTAGAAAAAAATAAAAAAAATTCAGAATTATTTTGTTCAAACAATTGTGAATTAATACATACCATGTTCTGTGTTGTTTTTTTTGTTTGTTGGTTTGTTGTTTTTTTTTTTTTTTCAGTAATTTTAAATTTGATGCATGCATTTGTGTTTACAAGGAAGAAGACAGAATAGGCTGGATCTCTTCTGTGTCTCAGTGGGGCACTTAGTTCCTCTTATATGAAGCCACACTGTGTGTAGCTGAGGACTTGCTATCTCCACAGAATCAATTGTTATTTCAGTTAATCCATGGATCCCAGTGAACACCGTGACTAGTTTGTAGCTGTGTTATCTCTTTATTTTCTCCCATAATTTAGTAATCTTTCCGACTTCATCAGTGTGGAAAAAAGAAAAATTCTTGTGTTGCTATAAACCACAGGACTTCTCTAAAGTAGATCTAAGTAGAATTCTGTGGTGTTTGAAAGGTTCATTGGGAGAAGGTGAATGAGGTTATTAGCTTCATGATGTATGACCCACAGAATAAACCCTTTTATTAACATATGCAGATATATTGAGGTGAATGGTAGCCAGTATAAGTTTGCTTCTCCTGTATGTAGATCTTTCCCTGTAGACACTTGAAACCCTAGGAGTATCTGTAGCTAGAAAGACAATATGAACAAAGTTATCCTTTCTCGTGCTTTGACATTTATGCAGTATATTATCTATGTTTAAAAAAAAAAAAAAAAAAAAGAGTGTTTTTTTGTTTGGGTTTGTTTGGGTTTGTTTGTTTATAATAAGGACTTGATTGTAAGAGTCTATCCTGCTATTCTGGTTTTATGCCACGCAAAACCTAGAACATTTTTCTGCCATGTGTTTCATTGAAACTGGGCAAGTTCATACAAAATCAGCTTTGAAAAGTCACAAAGAGGACCTTTGGTTTGATTGGAGTGTTATATAAGTACTTCTGAGATTCTGGAGGAAAATCATGGAATTCTCAATAAGTAACTGTGGTTACAGTGATTATAACGTAGCTACGCTATAATAACAAACACTGATAGGGTGGTCAATATAAATCTGTTCATTTTGAGAGTCCTGTTTTTTTGAAAGTCTTATTTTAAATTTCATTTCCTTTTTGCTGGCAGCTTACGTATTATATTTTATATAATTATTAGGTTATACCCTGCAGAACTGCTCAAAACTTGAGATTATAACAAATTGTGCCACAGGAAGGACATTTATTTTCTTTTAAAGGTAAAATAAAGAACTTAAGTTTCTATCAGCAAACATAGTTTTCTGTCTTTCATTGCTGTATTTTCCAGATCAGTAACTGCATGATATTGCAATTGAATTTTCTTATGTACTGCATTAATCTATTAACTGCTTTGATGCTTTTTACACGTGCAGTCTAGGTACTTTCAAATCATGGCTTTCTGCCATAAGTAAATTGCAGGGAATTGTTGCGTACAACTGTATCATTTGTTCCATTTAGTATTCATTATTCATTGCTTATGCAGCCCTTTCTTTAAAAAAAAAAAAAAAAAAAAAAAAATACAAAGCCTCATGCTTGTAAGTCTGAATTCTGCGAAAACTAATTTCACTATTGATAACACATAATTTTAATCTGTACTCTACTTAAAATACAGGTTTTTGCAGAGCAAGACCTTTGATCTGTATCCAAGAGAATCTTCAGAATTTGATTGATCTACTCAGGTATTAAAAGTATGAAACTGACTTTTGGGATATTTTCTTCTAAAAAAACTCTTAGCAGTCATATCAGAATTGTCAGTGAAGCTTTAGCTAGAATGGGGTAGAATCTTAAAATCGTAAAATCCTTAGAGCTGGAAGGAACCTTTAAAGGTCATGTAGTTCAACTCCCCTGCAACGAGCAGGAACACCACAGCCAGATCAGGTTGCCTAGGGCCTGATCCAGCCTTGCCTCGAAAGTCTCCAGGGACAGGATATCAACCACATCTCTGTTCAGCCTGTTCAAGTGCCTCACTACCCTCACTGTAAAAGACTTTTTCTTTATATCCAATCTAAACCTACCTGCTTTAAGCTTGAAGTCATTTCCACTCATTCTATCACCTCAGACCCTGCTAAAGAGTCTGTCCCCTTCTTTCCTATAGCTGCTTTTTAGATGTTGGAAGGCTGCTATCAGGTCACCTCAGAGCCCTCTCTTTTTCAAGTTGAACATCCTCAGTGCCCTCAGCCTGTCCTTGAAAGGGAGGTGTTTCATTAATTGGATCATTGTTGCGACCCTCCTCTGGATGTGCTCCAACAGGGCCATGTCTTCTCCTGTACTGAGGACTCTACATCTGGACACAGTACTTCAGGTGAGGCCTCACCATTGCAGAGTAGGGGGCAGGATAACATCCCTCGAGCTGCTGATCATGCTGCTTTTGATGCAGCCCAGGATGCAGTTGGCTTTTGGGGCTGTGAGGGCATATTGCTGGCTCATGTCCAGCTTCCCATTCACCAGTATACTCAGGTCTTTTTTGGCAGGGCTGCACTCAATCCTTTTATCTTCCAGCTTGCGTTGATAATGGGGGTTGCCTTGACACAGGTACGTTATCCTATGCTTGGGTTTGTTCAACCTCATGAGGTTCACCTGAGCTCATTGCTCAAGCCTGTCTAGATCTCTCTGCATGGCATCCTGTCCCTCTGTTGTGTTGACTGCCTCCCACAGCTTAGCGTCATCTGCAAAGTTGCTGGAGGTGCACTCAACCCTGCTGTCAATGTTATTGATGCTAAAGAGTATCAGTCCCAGCACTGACTCCTGGGGGGCCACTCATCACTGATCTCCATCCAGTCACTGAGCCATGTACCTCCACTCTCTGGACTTGATCCTGTAGCCAGTTCTTTATCCATCAAACAATCCACCCATCAAACCTGTATCTTTCCAATTTGGAGAGAAGGATGGTTGAAGTTGGAGAGAAGAGGTGATTGTTCCCCTATATTCAGCACTAGTGAGGCTGCACCTCGAGTACTGTGTCCAGTTTTGGGCCCCTCACTGCAAGAAAGACATTGAGGCCCTGGAACGTGTTCAAAGGAGGGCAACAAAGCTGGTGAGGGGTCTGGAACACAGGCCATATGAGGAGAGGCTGAAGGAGCTGGGAATGTTCAGCCTGGAGAAGAGGAGGCTCAGGGGAGACCTCATTGCTCTCTATAACTTTCTGAAGGGAAGTTGTAGTGAGCTGGGGGTCGGCCTCTTCTCTCATGTCATTAGTGATAGGACCAGGGGGAATGGTTTCAAGCTACGGCAGGGGAGATTCAGGCTGGACATGAGGAAGTATTACTTTTCAGAAAGGGTGGTCAGGCACTGGAATGGACTGCCCAGGGAGGTGGTGGAGTCACCGAGCCTGGGGGTGTTCAAGGAAAGGCTGGATGTTGTGTTGAGGGACATGGTTTAGTGGGAGCTATTGGGAATAGGTGAACGGTTGGACTTGATGATCTTTTAGGTCTTTTCCAGCCTTGGTGATTCTATGATTCTATGATTCTGTGTTGTGGGGCTTTGTGTCAGAGGCCTTACTGAAGTTGAGACAGATGACATCTGTGGCTTTTCCCAAAGGATAGCATTGATACAGTGACACCATCATAAAAGTCACTAGGTTGGGTAAGCAGGATTTTCCCTTGGTGAAGTCGTGCTGGTTCTACCATATCACCTCCTTATCTTCCATGTGCCTTAGCAAAGCTTCCAGGAGAATCTTCTCTGTGATCTTTCCCAGCACAGAAGTGAAACTGACAGGTCAGTAGTTCCCTCTGTAATTGTCATACTCTTCTTAAAAACGGATGTGATGGCAACATATTTACCAGAGACTTCACTTGATTTCCACTTTTCAAATATCATTGAGAGTGTCTTGGTGACTAAATCAGCTAATTCCCTCAGGACACTATGGGTGCCAGTGAGATACATCCCAGACTTGTGGACTTTTAGGTTCCTCAGGTGTTCATGATCGGGACGTTGATTCCCCAATCCTCTCCTACCAAACCAAACATTTGAGGGCTGCATGGCGATCAGTTGTCAGAGAAGACAGAAGCAAAAAAGTTGATAATTATCTCAGCTTTCTCCTTGTCTCTTTTCTGTGTCACATGGGGGGCGGGGGGGGAGAGGGGGTATACCCTCTTGGACTTTCTGATTGAGGTACCTGTAATAGCCTTTCTTGTTCTTTTTGACATCCCTTGCTAAGTTCAGTTAAAGCTGGGCCTTGGCTTTCCTGACCCTATCTCTACACAGCCTCGCAGCTTCCTTATAGCTTCCTCTTTGCATGTCTTAACCCTCTGGAGCATGAGCTCCACCACTGCATGGTCACTACAACCCACTAAGTCTCCAATCCTCATGTCATCAGTCAGTTCATTTGCATTGGTGAGCAACAGGTCCATTATTGCATCTCCCCTGTTGAGGCCTTCTATTACTTGATTCAGGAACGTTCTAACAGAAGAATCAGATAAGCTATTACACTTCTAAGAGGAAGAGTACATTTCAGAGAAAATATTTGCAAAGATGAAAAATTATATTATTGGGCTTGACTCTTATTTCGGTTTATGTATAATGTAGGACGCACTGGAGGGCTGTTAACACTGGTAATTTTATAAGTTTAGTTCAGTAATGCATGTGGCTGAAATGCATTACTAGCAGATAGCCT